AAGGGATCAAAACATAAATGTTCGTCAGCGCAGATTTACCCGTATGATTCTGCGTGAGTTTGATAGAGATCCGACCACAAGTGTTAGGAGAGTTTCTGGTGCTTTGGGAATTTCAGCAATCCATGTTCACCGTGTACTTAGAAAAGACCTTACCATTTGCAACCTGTGCAAGGACTACAGCCAGGGGACGGAGAACGAAGAATCACATTTTGTCAGTAGATTCTTGATAGAACTGATAATAATAGGGAGTTTTTAAGTAACGTTTTATGGACCGCATGCAGTTCGGAAAAGAAATTTTCAGCATGAATTTAGTGTGAACGCGTGGATTGGTATCCACCGTAATCGACTATTTGGACCCTTTTTTGGCTGCAAGGTTAAATGCTGCGACCTTCTTGGAATTTTTAAAGGCTGAACATGCAAATATGTGGGATGATGTTATGTTAGATTTAAGAAGATTGGCCTGGTTCCAGCTTGATGGTTGTCCAGCTCATTATTTGAGAATAGTTAGAAACTGGCTGGACGAAAATTATCCAGAAAGATGGATCGGCCGTGGAGGACCAGTCGCCTGGCCTCCACGATCCCCTGACCTAAATCCATTAGATTTCTTTGTGTGGGGATTTCTAAAAAAAAAAGTGTACCAGACTCCCGTAACCACAAGAGATATGCTAATAGACAGAATCAGGAATGCATGTGATGAAATAAGGCCTTATTTGAATAATGCTATACCACGTTCGATCATTCATAGATGTGAATTGTGTATTGAACAATTGGGTTTACATTTCGAGCAACTACTTTAGATTTTGTATGTTTGTCCTAACTATCCAATAGCATTTTAGTTGTAAATAATTAATTTAATTTGTTATAAATAATATTGGAAAATGAAACAAATTAGTATTCTGTTTTTTTGTGTTTATTTGGAGTTAGGAATTATTGCTGTATTTAAAAACACAATCTAAACGATCATCTTAATTACTTGTAATGCCCAAATCGAAAATGTAAAAAAAATATTATTTTCCCATAAATAATTAAAAATGCATCGAACCTTAAAAATCGAAATATCTCAAAAACGGCTAACTATAACGAAAACTCACAGGAGAGCTTTTTTATGCAGAAAAGTGCGAAGAATCAGTTTTTTTATTCAAAAAGCAAAAAATTGCACTAAGAAAAAATTTTCGGTCATTTTAATACACTACAGGTACAGTAGAGAGCGCCCTCTAGCGGCTACAGTAAAACTATGCCCTTGGTTCGTTTTTTGTTATACCAAAAAACCCTTGTATACCAATTTTCACTGTTATACATCAAATATTGTTCGAAATATTTAAAAAAAAAACTGTTTTTAAATTTAAACACCCTGTATTTCGGAAGACACGCATTTTTCGACTCATGTTTATATAGACTTTATGCATTAATTTTAAAAGTTCTATCGAATCTTAAAGTTATGCAACAATAAATTGAAACACCCTGTATATTTCCCCAAAATCCTAATTTTGTACTACAGCAACTACGCGCTATAATACGGTATAAAACAGAATAGAATCCTCCATTCGGAAACAATTATCATTACATTATAATATTTTCATGAATTGGAATAGATTACATCTTTTTATGGACATAATAATCGTCCAGCTGAACTTTGCTAACATATTAATGCATTTTTTAACCCAATTGCAACATTATTTTATTCAGAAACAAGGACACACTTGTTAAACAACACTACTATTTCATTCTGATGCATAAATTATATTAACAGAATAATAGAAAGTCCTGCCGAGTTTTGACACTAACGTAATAATCACTAATTATTCTACTATAATCATGTTGGCTCAATTATTAACGGCCTCACTTCATACTTCAATTATCTTAAGGTTGTTTAAAATTATTATCGTCGGTTTACACGACAATGAAGTAAGACATTGAAAAAATACGCGTTGTATTAACATATTATTATATAAAGCTCTTATCGTTTGTCATATGTTGTTATTCCTTATAAATCGGTACCTCAGAGCCAGACTAGGTGGTTAAGACCATTTTTGCTTAAAATGAGTTTTGAGTGTTTAAGCGTTCAAAATTTCTGTTGGCGCTTAGCTTAGGGCAGCCCTTGAGGACATTTTTTCCATAAAAACATGTTTTTTTTTGTTTGTTGAGCATTTATTCAGATTTAATGCAACAATGTTAATTTTATATAATTATTCGTTTACACATTTTTAAATCAATTTTCTGTAAATATACATTCTTGTCCACTTAAATTACTACACTATGCATTTTGGTTATTCATTTTAATGTCACGATAAACATTTTTCAATTCTAACACTGTTCAATATCATTATTCAATTTATTAATTTCAAATACTCCTTTTTGAAATAAGATTTGTCAGCTATGCTACTATTACAATTTTGAAGATGAAAATCTATACTGGCTCTAGTTTCGTAATTATGATAATGGCTATTTAATTTTTTGAAGTATTCTAAATCTGGAGGTAATAAATTATTTTTTAATTTGAGCATGAAGATGAGAACTAAATAACACGTAAAATATTTTTATTCAACGACTGAAGTCCTTCTAACATAAAGTTAATCTTAGCATATTTGTTTTTATTTAGAATGCTTCTTTTTTAGAAGTTGTAACTTTGAAAACATGTTTCCCTTTGCTTTAAACAACATTGTTGAACAGTGTAAAAGATGGGGAAGAAACACAATCCTTTTGGAATACATACTGAGATTATGGGAAACACTATACAAGTAATTTATCTGTTATGATATTTTTGAAAGAATGTATTCATACAAGTTATCGAATATATTGAAGAAAATAAGATACTGACAAAATTTCAAGCAGGATTCAGAGAAAAGTTTTCTACTGAAACAGCAATTTAAATGGTAGTAGAAGAATGGAGGCGAAATATGGATGAAAAAAAGTTTACAGTAACATTGTTCTTAGATTTCATGCGAGCATTTGAGTCTATTGACAGGGAGAAATTGTTAACGAAATTGCACTGCTGTGAATTTCAAGGTTCAGTATTCAACTTTTTACAAAATTATTTAATCAATAGAAGTCAAATAACTAAAATTGGCAATACATTATCAAATATTAAATACATTTCGATAGGTGTACCACAGGGTAGCAAATTAGGTCCATTACTATTTATTTTATATTTTAACGATATTCCTGATATTTTACAGCACTGCAAAATTCAACTATTTGCTAATGATACATTAATATATATCCAATAAAGACATTTAAACTGCAATAGAGCTGTTAAATAATGATAAGAAAAACGTAATAAGTTGGTTAAATGTAAATTAACTTAAACCAAACACAAATAAAACAAAATATATGCTAATAAGAAAATCTTTAGATCAAAATACGATAAATCTTACAATTAATCATGAAAAAATTGTGTCAATCGAATCATTTAAATATTTGGGCACTATGAATATATTATTTCAAAAATATCCAAGAAAATAAACTACTTTTATAGAATTTCGCATAGCCTAAGCGTTTATTCTAAAAAAATTGTGTACAACACTATCATCTTGAATAAAAATAGATATACTAGAATAAATTTTATGATGAAAGAACTACAATGGTAAAATATCAAAAATTTCATAGCCTACTTGGTTTCCATTTTTATATTCAAGTTGAAAAGTTGAAAAATCATCTTCTACCAAAATTTTATTGTATTCAACAATGAGTGCCACAATTTATTATTCTACTAGAGGAAGTATAGGCTTTCATTTACAAAACTGCAGTGCCAATATAACGAGCAAGTCAGTATTTCAAAAGGGATTGTACGAATTTAATAAATTAAGTAATGATATTATACAATATATACAGGGTTACTTTGAAGTTGAGTCATTAATTTTCAGATAATGGTTGTAGAAGGAAGATAAACCAAAATATGTGTGTAAAAATAAAAAAAAAATAAAAAAAATGTTACCTTGTTTTATAAAGTATCCTCCCGACAAGTATTTCAGTGCGGACCTGTATTTGATCGTGAGGTCTTAAGTCACCTGATTCACGAGCCCGTTGTACTACATTAACAAAGGCACGAGGGGTTGGTTGCACTCGATTGGGAAACCGATCCGCATAAACATGTGCCATTTTTTATTTCGTTTGAGCAAACACCACTATTCACTCACGCGTTACCGACTGACACATTGACTGAATAAAAACATCGTGATCAGCGTTTCAAATTCTTTCGCTTTTTTGTTTCCGATGCGATGAACCGATAAGGCGGATTATATCCGTTGTTGCCAAACACGAGCACATAATATTATTATTGAGACAGGGCGGTACTCAAACTTCTAAAGGGCTATAACTTTGTTACTTTAATTTTACCAGAAAAATGTTAAAGGAAAGAACATTTCTTTTGATCAGATCTACTCACTGTTAAAATAAATGACTCAACTTCGAAGTCACATATATAATTATATGTTTTTATTTATTTCGATCGAGAATGACATTCTGAACTCAACAACGTCTCACATGTCCACATTTGACAAATCAAGTAATTTTTGTTTCAGTTCCTATTTTCTGATCTAGAATGCCATGAATCCTGTAAATCGCTTTATTTTTGATCAAGTAACACGGGAAAATTAATTGTTTGAGACGAATGACCTTACCGTCGTTTTAAGGATTTTCTAAAAGTTAAAAACACTATTTTTTTCTATTTACCTGATTTTTTCAAACAGAAAGGGGGTGGGTCGTCGGCTTTTTCTAAGAGACTGTTTTCTTACGAATAATTTGACTCTACACACTCTTGTTTTATTTTCACTATTTTTCCTAACAATTGTAAGAAACGGTCATACCTAACAACAAATAATACGTATCTGCATCTGAATCTTTTTTGAGAGATTCTCGCTCAATTTTGAGGCAACTTTTCATGAATCGTTGACTTTTACTGTCCTAAATTGACTCATTGATAAATTATGATATACTTGTAATGAACATAAGTAGGGATCACCGCCATCAATCGTCTTCACTATCGCATATAACTATTTCAGGTACAAAATGGTGCGGCACCGGAGACATAGCCAAAGACTACTTCGACCTAGGCACGGAACCCAAAGTGGACGCTTGCTGTCGCGCTCACGACTTATGCCCTGTCAAAATCCGCGCGTACTCCAACAAATACAACCTCACCAACAATTCGCTCTACACCAAGTCGCATTGCAGATGCGATGACAGTTTGTTTGAGTGTCTGAAACGCAACAGGAACTCAAATACTGCCAATATCATGGGCAACATCTATTTCAATATCGTCCAGGTGCCTTGTTTGGAGGATAGTGAAGAAGGTAGGAAGTTCAGACAGGCCAAGAATGTTTTCTGACTAATGGAGGATTACGAGCAGTGGATGATCGATTTTGGGATCACGTGATGTTGCGACTGTCAAACAGTCAGTTGTGAGATTTCAGATGTTCAGGCCTTCAGATTTGGACTGCATTTGTTCAATGTTTGTGTAATTTTGAAGAATAGTTGTGCTTGCGGTAGTTCCAGAGTGATCTTCTAATAAAATACAAATCAGAAAATATTTGTTTCTCTGTAATAGTGATAAAATATTGTTTTAACATCAATATTTACTTTCAAAGTAAGCATAATAGAATCAAATTTTCAAATGTGGATAATTATTCTTACACATTACCTACATTATTCTGATTCAAGTATTATCTTCCATTTTGTCACGTCATTGCATCATTGAATTTTTATCAATATACGAGGGTTGATTCAAAAATATGGTTCCCACATTTTTTTCAGGCATTTGAAAAGACGAATTTCATCGTTTAAGGATATGTGGAATGCTTATACACGTTTTCCATATATTTCACTCAATTGACAATGAATTTCTATGGGTGGTAACGTTTTTGTTGAATAATTTATGAAATCTAGTTGATTTCGATTTGTAATTAGCAACTATTTAGTAGTATTGATCTAAGGAAATTTTTGTAATATATCAATTGTAGATAGTTATATCACCGGTGTACCATTTATTATTTATACTCGTAACTACAATATTAAATTTCTGTGATTATGATTTGAGAATATGTAGTACTTATTCGAAAGTATACATATATAGTATAGCAATAAACGTTTTAATGTAGTATCTGTTACCGGTAGTTTTTTATACGGTTACTTTTTATTTTGATACCTTTTTTGTTGGGAGAAGTTCTTCCGAGTGATTTTTCAAACATTTACATATTACGTTCAAGTATTTTGAGGAAAAGGCATTTTGGACCACATTGCTTTTTAGTAAGTACTTGAAAAGCTGGAAATAGCTGGAACTAGATTTGTCTCAGGAAAGAGCTTGTTTCGATCCCCTCTTTATATTTTGCAAAATTTCGTACAATTACAAAGTCTATGAAAGCCGCCGAAATGATAATAAAACTGTTGATCAAACACATGTGTTTTTTTACTGGCAAGATATGATAAGACTCTACATACAATCTGTAATGACATTTCACTTACTTCATCGTACTTTCAAAGTAGAACGGGTTCAAGTTTTTTATACGGATTTTACTTCAAATATTCAAAAAGTCTGACAAAGATTTCTCAAAAGAATTGAATCATGCAAAATTGAATGCCTTATTAAAAAATGCAATAGATGTATAAAAAATCAGTAGCGTAGGTAATAATTATCTATTTTGTTCTGTAGTGGTCAAACTTGTTCGATTTCTTAATCCACAACTTCGATACGGTAAGGGAACATTTTAGTACCCATGTTCATGTCCATACTTTTCATATCATTTTAAACCTACTTTCTATCCGTGAAATATTGCTACGATTTTCTAACTCACGCTATACAGGGTAATTCACAAGTCGTGACCAAAAATAAAACATCGTACACAGGGTCGCATACGGGGTTTAAATTTAAAAATAAAACACAATTTTTTAATATCTTCAAAATAGCCTACTGGAATAAACTATTTAATACATGGATTAACCCAAGTATTGTCCATATTCAACAGTCTTTACTAAAAATCAACGTGCACCAGTGGCGGAGATACAGGGGATTAGTGGCTATATTTTTCTAAATAATAATAGTTCGCCACTGTTTTATTTTAACGAGCAATTTTTTAGATTTAACTTCAATTTGCTACAAATAATTACTCTTGTTTTTTCCTAGAGTTCACTGTTTTCGTAAAAATAAAAATAAAACAAATTAGATCATCCATGAAGGGCCAAGATACAATTAGTTTCAAAATAAAAGAGGAAGCCTTGATACCAACTTGACGTTTCTTGATAGACAATTTTTTTTATGGCGCACCTGTATCCATCAGAATGGTGGTCTTTTTGAACATTTATTGAAATAATCTAATTAGTTTTTTTTAATTCGAAAAATTGCGTGTTTTTATAAAACCAGTGGCGTACTATTTTTATTTGGAAAAATTATGCCACTAATCCTCTGTGTCTCCGCCACTGGTGCAGGTTAATTTCAAGTAAAGACTTTTTAATGTGGACAATACTTAGGTAAATTCACATACCAAATTTTAGATCATTCCAGTTGACGCTTTCGCAGATACTAAAAAATGCTTATTATTTTTAAACTTTAACACCCCGTATCTTTTGAATGAATCCCTCGAGGAAAAAATGTTACATAAAAGACCCCCCTTAAAATTCGGTCTTATGTATGATGTTTAATTTCTGGTCACGACTTGTGAATCACCCTGTATATTTTTATGTCATCGGTGTATTTTAATATGATTCTGATGCTTAACACTGATTAACTTCGTAACTCATAATCTCATAATTGCACGGTTAAGGTCGTTCTATATTTAGGTATTATCAGTATAAAGATTTAAATTTTGCATATACTTATTATGCTTTATTATTTTAGGTATTTACGTTCCAGAACGATGGCTTATCGAGCTTTCTAGATTGTAACTTAATCGAATGTTTCTGATACGATGATTGAATGCAGATCGTTTCGGTAGTCTTATCTCACCAACAACTACTTCGTTTGCTTCTATACAGAAATCCAGATTCCTTGATTTTTGACAAAATAAGTTCTCAATTTTAAGCCAATAGGTACTCAACACAAAAATGACTCCCAAAACATTTCTTCAGTTGTCTGTAGAGCGCTTTATTGTCATCAATTTCTCTCAAGGTTCAAAAAAATATACTAAGTGACATATAAATCCGAACACCCAGATTAAATGGTTTTATTTTAATAAAAGTTGGTGAATGTATTTATCTTACTGTAAATAACAAGTGAAAAAATTGTCAGCCTTATCAGCTGGATATTCCGGTTTTTATACTGCTTTTTTTTAATTCACTAACGCTCTAAAAATGAATATTTCAGCAGCAGTAAAGAATCAACGTTGGCGGATTTTGGTTCTTGACATCCTTTGCGATCGGTTACGATGCCTAGAGTACGGAGACCTGTACGATTTCGTCAACTTAGTGAGTTTGATAGGGGCCGTATAGTGGGACTTCGGGAAGCTGGACTTTCTTTTCGGGCAATTGCAGTTAGAGTGCAAAGAAGTGTAGACACTGTGGTTAGGTGTTGTCAGGAATGGCTTCGAGAAGGCCGTACGCAAAGAGCAAGGGGCACTGGACGCCGCCGTAGAACAACAGACCGTGAAGATCGCCGCCTAAGATTATTGGCCTTAAGGGACCGTTTCTCCACTACTAGGTCCATTGCAAATGAATGGTTTGCAGAACACGGAAGACCTATTGGCATGCGAAGTGTTTACCGACGAATGAGAAGTTTTTGCTTGTTTTCATACCGGCCGCAGTGGGTCCTCCCTTCAACTCGAGAACACCGACGTAATCGCCTTGAGTGGTGCAGACAACGGTCACTCTGGGAGTCTCGATTTTGTTTAGGCATGCACGATGGTCGTGCCAGGGTTAGAAGGCGACGTGGTGAAAGGAGGAATCCACAGTTTTTTGTTGAAAGACATGTTCATCACACTGTTGGAGTTATGGTTTGGGGTGCTATAGCTTATGGTTCCAGGTCACCTTTAATCTTCATCAAAGGTAACATGAACGCGCAGCGTTATATCCACGAAGTTCTAGAACCCCATCTTTTACCCTATCTTGACACCCTGGCAGATACAACTTTCCAACAAGATAATGCCCGACCACATGTTGCAAGAGTCACAATAGACTTCTTTCAACATAATGATGTCACATTGTTACCATGGCCACCAAGATCTCCCGACTTATCCCCAATTGAGCACGTGTGAGATATGATGGGTAGGAGATTGCTCAATTTGCAACGTCCTCCTCAGACTCTAGAAGCACTTCGAGAGGAGTTGGTGGTTGCCTGGAATGAGATACCACAGGAGGACATTGACCACCTGATCAGAAGCATGCCTAGGCGCGTTGGAGAATGCGTAGCACATCAGGGTGCATCCACACATTATTAAAGGTCAAAGGGCTTTAAAGCAGTGCAATCATTTTGAAATTTTTATCATTTACTTATTATGCTTCATTAAGTACTTATACAAAATTTTATTAAAATAAAACCATTTAAACTGGCTGTTCGGATTTATATGTCACTTAGTATACATCCTCTAATAGCTTTTACAAAATAATTCGGAACTCAAGACTAAAAAGGTAGGTATGTGATAAGGTAGCTTCTATTGGTACCTATTTATTATATCGCTCAAGTCATTTTGTTAGACTCATTAGCATTTATCAAACCTACATGTCACCCACAATACTATCACTCATAAAGTATAGAGTGAATATGCCAGTGGTCGGACAGTTTAGATAACAGCAAAAATTCTTTTGGAGGTGATTATATATCGTTAACTTTTCGCCGACAACAAATACATTGTTCATAGATATTCCTGTAACTTTATGAAAAAATGTTAGTAAAAGAGGTGCTAGTTCGAAAGTACTCAGAAGATGCTACTAGTCGGCCGGCCAGTTTCCATTTGTCGGACAGCATTCGATTGGTAAGTTTTAGTCAGAACCGTATTTAAAAATTTGTGATAATAGAATATACATTTCAAACCAATTATCATTAAGACTTTGAGGAATAGAAATGAAACACACTCATACTGAGTCCATTTAATATAGATATTTTTATCAAAAATACATACAAACTAGATAAAAATTAACAAAAAACTAATATTTTCCTTTAATCGGGTCCTGCGCTGCCGACTTAGAACTATCATACGGAGTACATATTTCAAGCAATTTCCTAATATTACTCACAGCTTCCTTTAACCTACCTCCACTGTACAGGGTGTCCGCAAAGTTGGGGTTTTCCTTTTCAGAAACAACTACCCTTGAAATAAGAAAGGTAATGTGTAGAGAAACGAGGACGACCAAGTAAAAAAAAATAAAGGAAAAGGTACTCACTCTCCAGTTGACGAGAAGGGCTAAGTACGTCTCTGCCCGAAATCATACCGCTCCAACAGAAAATGAAATCGGCTGATGCGCTACCGAGCAGACGCAGGAAAACAAGGAAGGCCAAATGTTGCGTAGAAAGTCTAGGTATTGCATCCCGTCCAATCGATTTGGGAGAATAAAAGGTCCAATGAGCATACCGTTCACCATGCCAGCCCAAACATTCACCGAAAATGTTTGTTGAAAATGTGCCCGACGGACAGCGTGCGGATTCTCTACTGACCAAACATGAGCGTTGCGAAAGTTATTCACCCCATTACGCGTGAACGTTAGATTCGTCTGTCACCAATATGCACTTCAAAAAGTCCGGATTATTGTCATGTTGATGCAACAACCACTCACAAAACCGCACTCTTGCTAGAAAATTGTCAGGTTGAAGGGCTTGTACACGTTGGACGTGAAACGGATACAGCCCCTCTTCACGCAGCGTTTGCCACACTTTAGGTTTTGATACTTGCACTTGCACTTCTCTAGCCACGTCTCTAGTGCTTGTTGAGGGATTCTCGTCTACGCGACACCTCTACACGCGTGACCGTAACCGTCGGTTGAAGGTTGCATACTGACCTGACACACTGACCCCGACCCAGTTCTGTCGTCGGATTGAGCTAGTGTCCTAGTACCACTCGGGGATGTCGCGGCTACAGGACGGTATTTAGATATTTTTGATGTTGCAGAGCCCTTTATCTCGGTTTCCCTTAAGACATTGGTGTATATGGTACTAAGAAAAATTGCTTATGTTTTCAAGATCGACACGTCGTGTAAAGGAAAACCCCAACTTTGCGGATACCTTGTATATACGAAATTTATTTTTCCCCAAATGAAGTGACAATGTGAAATTTATTTCATTTCGCTAGCAGTAACGTACAATGTGTTATTCCACCCTCTTCCTTTTTGGTGCCGGTATCTAGAACTTTACTCGGATGGATTTGTAAGTTTGAAGCTGATGTGGATTGAATAAATACATTAATATCGATAAAAAAATTATTTTTATTTTCTATGAATCTACACATAAAATTAAAATTCATTAATATTTCGTACAATGGCACTTATTCTTTCAGAACTGCAAATTCTTGCATATTTTGAAGAGCTTGTTTGTATATTTTTCCTTCAGGCAATGCTTCTGGCTCATGCTTCAACAGTTCAATACACTCCGTTAAAAATTTCTTGGAATCCTGAAAAATAAAAAACGTTGGATGTTACTATAGATAATAGCTCGAGTCTTTTTGGTCTATGACAGGAAAAACCATACTATTATATTGGGGAAAATCATGCGAACGTTGTTTAAACAAGACGTTGATTCATGTCTTAGAGAAAGAAAGAAGCAGTGTTCCAAAATAACTTACCATTAATGCTGACTTCACTATTTCAGGATCGTCAGTATTTCTTCTTGCAATCTCAGCCATGCATGCATGAAGCTCAAATAATAAAACACCTCGCACTCTTCTTTCGCCTAAAAACAATTTTGTTAAGAGATTTATGTAAAATGAGCTTAATTGCATAATATATTTTCTTCTAGTTATTCTACTTTTGGAAACTAGAACGTGCAGAGATACACGTTTTGTTACCGCAAAGTTACTTCCCCTTTTTTAAGCAATGAACATTTTCATGTTAGACAACGAACCTGGGATCAATTTTTCCGTCAGGCTCATAAGATCTCGACACAGCTTCAGCTTCAAATCAAAATCTTCACTGCTTGTTTCAACTAATCCCCCTTCTTCTTGGCCAATCATATTCGCCAATGCCAGTTTGACATCTGTCAGGTAATAATGATTCGGATGCAGTAGCTGTTCGTATGTCTCAATGAAACTTCTGCATTCCCTGATCACACCTTTAGGCATCTCCGATAAGTCTTTACCTACAAGAACAGACGAATGTTTAAAAAGTGACAAGAAGTTATAACAGTTTGGAAAGCTTGCCTATTCTTTCTAGCAGATCATGAACCGAATACGTGGATAGCTTTGCTTTGCATGCATTGCATTTCCAGTCGGAACCTTTTTCATTCATGCTATTTTCTATGAAGGTCTCAGGCAATAAAAAGCCAGTGCAGTTGCTGAAACATAAGCAAAATTCAGAGTAGACAGAGGTTATGAAAAAACAAACAGCGAAAATAATAATTAGTAGACGAATAGCCCAAAAATTATAAATTAAAAAATGCATAAACTGTGATTTGGCTAGTTCGCAAATTTGAAAAATGTAATTCAATTTACCTGTCTTGACATCTCAAGGCACTAAAGTACGTCCCGAATTCAGTCTTGTCTTTACATCTATGGCACTCGCACCAGAAGTACTTGGAGTCCCACAAGTGCTGTCTTCTGTTGGGGGTTCCCCAGAGAGGGTCCGTGTAGCAAATACTGATATGTTCGTCTTTTTTTATGGGTTTGCCGGCAGAAATAAGTATGTAGCCTTTATCGGTGAAACTCTTGGAACAGTTAGGGCTACAGTTGTGCTCCAATAGGGAAGCTTGGTCGTAGAGGGCGATATATGGAGTGTCTGTCAATGGAATTTCGTGGGAGTTGATCTGAAAATATTGCCTATTATTATCTTAAATTCAGTCAAAAATTACTAAATGTTATATCAATAATACAGGGTGCGGCAGAGAGGATGGACGGTTTTAAAAAAATCATAAAATAGCTAATTTTTCTCGAAAACAAATTTATTGATGGAATCAGGTTCGCAAGGAAATAGCATTTGAGACAGTCAAGTGTGGAAAATCACATCGGGCATGTGGTGACAGCAATCGTTGATGCATATGGATAAATCTGGGGACCGAGGAGGCCAATGAACATCGCCAAACCTGGAAATAAGGCGACCAGGGAAGAGAGGGCGAATAACGTCCATGGATGCTCGCTCCATATGCAAAATTCGCCTTACCGAACGATCACTAAGGCGAAGTGCGGCAGCATGTTTCCGGGCAGATCGAGTCGGACTGCGAAGAAAGACCTGTCGAACGCGTTCAACATTTTCAGGAGTTCGAACTGTTCGCGGCGCTCCTCTTGGTCTTCTGTTGATCAGTTCACCACGCCTGCGAAGTGATTCAACCCAACGAAGGATGGTGTTTCGAGAGGGAACAGCTCTATTCCGATGAATGTTGAAGGGGCGACGATGACTGACTCATTATTTCGGACGAAACAAGCATAGGCGAAAACGCGGTGCTCCACCGTCCAAGGCTCCATAACGACAACTAGTAAAATAATGCTAGGATCTCACGAGTCAAACGGCACCCTCCCCACCTCTTTCGTAGACGGAGACGGAGAGTACTACCCATCCCAAAAACGTCCGTCCGCTCTGCCGCACCCTGTACATATCTGGTTTGTATACTCTTGAATATCGGAAATTGGGGGTCTTAGGGGATGGGGGGAGAGTGTTTATCAATTTTTTTTTGTGAGTATATTTATACGTTCCCAATCCCGGTAATTCATATTTCACACATCATAGATTTCTCCGTACATTTGCCCTTAAAACAGAATGATAGAGAAATGCTTTGGATACACGTCTCTGCTTCTGCTATCTGAATTCATCGGCGGGCGTGCCAATCTCGATGAGTCCAGTTATTCCTGCCGCGTTTAACGCATCATGCGACCAAATATTGGGGAGGGGCGACGTTGCCAGATCCCGGTAGGGCATAGAAAGTCTACGGACTAATTGTATGAGCCTGTTTCACTGACTTGATACATTTAATTTCTCTATTATACATGTTCGTAACTACTTTTTTTCTCAGAGGGTCTTATATGTGCTGAACATGCCTTAATGAACTGATCACGGCGTTGCGTGGTAAGTGCAAAGTCACACCTACTTAACGCCATATTACGAGATAATAACCGACCGTGCTATTTGAAGGAGTTGGAGGGGGGGGTACATGAAGAAAAGACTGAAGCCTTGCATTCTGCCTGAAGGCAGTCATTTCAAACAGTTAAGTAGCTTCAGATGTAATTTCTGATGATAATAATTTTCAAATATTTCTTTCGTTTTTTGAATATTGTCTTAGGATAATCCGAAAAATGACCCCTTTAACTTTTACCCGATGTATACATAACACCCTCTATTGGACATTTATATGACTTGAACAGTAGCAAGAAAAAGCTCTTACCATAACAATTCCACAAACTTTCAAAATCTCTTCCTCTGTGAACACACTTTCCAATTTGAAAAATTTCCGTATAAATTGCGCTATATTCACCCTCTCCTGTTCATACTTCTGAGTATCTTTTCGTTCTTCACAATGTGACTGCAGTTCATCTATTTTCTTCCATGTTTCAGGCAGAAACTGTTTTTGGTACAAACATCTTAATACTGTGACGCATTGGTACGTGGGATGAATCATATTGAAGTTTTTTATCGAAACCTGCAAAAATAATCATAAGGTTAGTAACATAGGTATTATATGACATGTCGAAGAACTATGCCACTCATTTCCGTCAGTCTGTCTGTCGGTCTCTCGGTCTGTCCGGTACACCTTGGCCCTTCTATAACTTGGAAAGGAGTGCTCAGATTTGGATGAAATTTTTAAACAACGTTACTAGATTACCAAAGATAAAAAAGCTGTATAGTTTTTGAAAATCGGTCCAGTGGCAGCAGAGAAAAAAGCCAAAACCAAAAAATTAAGATCGCTCAAACGATCATTTTTGACATTTCGCCTGATCATTTTTGAAAAAACTTTTAGGGGTGAGAAACTATGGGGTTACATATTCGTGAATATTTTGTTCCTCAGAGGGTTTAGCTTGAGCTAAATGTTGAAGCATGCCCAATTTAATCATTTCGTCGATAGTTTTTGAAGTAAATCAAGAATGGCTCGGAATTTGCAGACGAAAGTAAATATTTCGTAAATATCTGTAGTTTTAATCGTTCAGAGGGTATTTTTGCTATTTGGGATGAGGAACACCGAATGTCATCCTGTCAATAATGTTAATTTGCAAAGAGAACTTTTTTTTCGTATCTATTGTAGTAGTAGTAGTAGAAAGATTTATTTAGCACATTTGGCTACATAAACAGAACAATTGTAAACAACTTAGAACTAGTAAATTCAAGCCATATGGTGTATGATGTAAATGCTGGGCAACCTATAATTGTAGATTTAACAAGTGATTTCTCAATTTTACTTTAAATTTTGTCAAAGTTTTCTGGTCTTTTATCTCCGAGTATAATTTATTATATTCAATCAACCCTTGATGGAATACAGATTTGTAGCATATGTTATACTTTTTGGTCATTAAATGGAAGTCATCTTTATTTTTGGTATTATGTAAATGATGGTCGACATTTGATGATGTTAAATTAGTTAGACTTGATGGAAATATATTATTTTTTACTTTATAAATGAATATCATTACAAGATATTTGATAAAATTTTGTACATTGAGCCATTTTAATTTGCTAAGCATTTGCCTAATTGGAGTATATTTATCTTTATTTAGTATTATTCTCATGCACTTATTTTGTAAAATTTGCAGTCTTTGAAAAATGGAATTATTTGCTAAATATAGAATAGTCGAACAGTACAAGAAATTTGGAAGAATGATGGTATTATAGATAATTTTTCTGCTATATGAACTCAGACATCCAGAAACTCTCGATAAATATCCCACTTTACTACTAATCTTATTTATAACTTTTTCATAATGAATATCAAAAATTAATCGAGAGTCAACAAAAACTCCCAGGTATTTAAAATTTTCTACGAATTCAATATCTTCACCATCAATATTCAGTTGAACATTTGTACATTGTTTTTTTCCGATTAACAAGGCTTTCGTTTTACTTGCATTTAATTTTAGTCTGTTAGATGCTAACCATTTTGAGACAAGCTTCAAGTCTTCATTTATATAAGACATACCAGACTGAATATTTTTAGTACTTATATAAATCATAGTGTCATCGGCGAAAATTAACTTTTGTAACTTGCATCCTTTTAGACAAATAATTTCTAAACCAATCTAAAACACTTCCTGTTATACCATATGCCTTCAATTTACCTAACAAAATATCTCTATCAATCGTTTCAAATGCCCTCTTCAAATCCAAAAATACTGCTATGACAACTTCTTCTGAGTCTATGGCTCTTCTCCAATTCTCAGTTACCAACTGGAAAGCTGTTTCTGTGGAATATTTTTTTCGAAAGCCTGCTTGCGCCTCCACTAAAATTTTGTTTTCTTCTATAAACTGCATTAATTGGTCATGCACTATGGACTCTAATAATTTTTCAATGTCTGGTAACACATTTACTGGTCTCATATCGCTGCATCTTTTAGAATTTTTTATTTTGGGAACTGGTGTTATTGTAGAGCATTTCAAATTTTCAGGGAAAGAACTGCTTCTCAGTGAACAATTGATCCAATTTAATGCAGGATATCCCAAAATTTCGAAACAGTTTTTCAGCACGTTTTTAGTAGTCATTTCGGCACAGTTGTTATTTGATTTCAAACTGTTTACTTTTTTCTTAGATAATTCAATGATACGCTGTGAAATTTTGAAAGTGTATGCAACATTTCCCTCTGGAAACTGATTTTCATATAGTCAGGTGCAGCATTGGCAGTACCTACAATATCAACAATACTTTCCACAAAATATTCATTTAGTTTGTTTGCAATCACCAAAGAATTCGCTTCGGTACCGTTTTCGAATTGAACTTGATTTACACAATCATGCGGCTTCGAATTGATCAGTCTTTAAAAAGTCTTCCAACATCTTTACACTGTCGCACTTGTAATTATCGATTTGTTTATCGTAGAATTTTCTTTTTTCTTCTCTAATTACATATACACATTTATTCCTAAGAGTTTTATATACCTCCCAATCATCATTTGATTTTGTGAATATACATTTATTGTATTGTTTGTCTCTCAAATTTTGAGCTGCCTTAATATTCTTGTTATACCAGGGTGTATTTTTTGTCGAGCAAATCACTTTTTTATCAGTTGCAAGATCTAAACAAGTTGTTATATTTCCTATTATGTTGTCATATATTTTTTCCATATTCTCACCAAAATTCCAATAGCAGCCAGCAAGTTCTCGTTCAAGTTTTTCGTACTTAATAGTATTTACGATTTTCTTAATTTTTGTATCAGAAAAATGCCCTACCAAGGGCAGCATTGTCCAACTGTGATCGCTAACTTTAGGTGTATGTACAGCTTTAATCCCTGCACATTCGAAATTTACAATAACAAGATCTAACAAAGTCTCTGATAATGATGTTATTCTGGTACTCTCTTCAATTTTTTGCTAGAACCCATAGTTGTTTATGGTTTCTTTCAATTTTCTTGTTTTCATGCTTTTAGCATAATAATTTAAATTAAAATCACCTAAAAGTATTATATTGTTTCTAAAATTCCACATTTCTTCGCATTTTTCTTCAAAAAATGTTAAAAATGTATCTGCATCACTGTTTGGTGAACGGTAAAAAGTACAAAGATCATAACGTTTCCCAAATAATTTGAACTGTATATGTGCATACCAGTATGCATAGTCTAAAGTGGTACAATCGAATAATGTGATCTGTATTTTGTGGTAAACATAAATCACTACACCTCCAGTATGTCTGGAGTTGGAGTTGCATCTGTAGGTTATCTCGTACGTTATCCTTCCCTTTTCAACTTACCTTGTCTCCTCTCATAACACTATACCGACATTCTGGTATGTGCTGAGGCGCTTTTTCGCAAATTTCCGAACAGATCGGCCATCCACATTTGCTGCAACATCTGGATTTCTCGTCTACGTTTTTATAACAGCCTACGCATACTGGTACCGTATTCTGACTGGGCCCAGAGATCAGAGGTTGTTCTTTCAATAAAATCTCTCCTGGTTTGATGTCTCTTGTTGCTACCATGTGACGGCCTAGGTCTTCTGTGTATACTATCTGTAACAGAAATGTCATGGTTCTGTTGAATTGGTAATAACTAGCATTGTCTGGGTCTTGTTTGTTTACCAGTTTCCGATGTTTTTCGAGTCACTTTTTATTTGGGCAACAGAATTTAAATTGTAGCAAACATGAGGAGCCAGTATAGGCCATATGCCATGCTTTTTTGCACCTCTCAATCTTCTCGAAAGCTCAATCCTCGACTTGCTGGTAAAGTGAAGCTTGACCTTCAACTCCTTGATATTCTGGGGATCCAAAACACTGAACCTCAACATAGTCTGCTTGTAATATCCCAGATCCTCGCAGCTACATAGAACATACGCCAGGACTTCTCTCAGCACAAGGAGGTGATGCGTGAATGTGTTATGGGCCGACACCAGCTCCACTGACAACCTTAGCTTGTCTTTGAATAGAGGTAAGTAAAAACTTCCTTCCTTTGCACTAGGTTTTAAAATTAGCGCGAGTACCTGACGTAGAGATCCTTCTACTTTTACATACAAACAAGGTCTAATATCACTGGACAACAAATTTTAGTCTTTTAATTGTATCTTGTGGGAAAAGTGCACTTCTTTGTTAATTTTGGGGCGCTGAATCCAAAAATGACAATGAAATAAAAAAATTAGTTGCGGTTTAGAAAAAAAACTTTTTATTTTTAAGGATATATTAAAAAAAGTAACAAGATTCATATACTTATAAGAATCACTTTATGCGCTGTCCTTTTGCTGTTCTTTTATTGATCGTTTCTGGAGCATCTCTACCGAGAGTCCAACAGTAGTCTGCAAGCATGGAAGGATTCCACTTTACTTGGTACCTTTTTTCCATTGTTGAAATATCCTGATGAAAACGTTCGCCGTGCTCATCACTTACGGCTCCGCAATTGTCAGGAAAAAAGTCCAGGTGTGAGTGTAGGAAATGTATCTTAAGAGACATATTACAGCCCATCTTTTGATACGATGACAGCATATTTTTGACAAGGGTTTTATAGTTGTCAGCTTTTCTATTTCCCAAGAAATTAGTGACCACCAGACGGAAATCATTCCAAGCAGTTTTTTCAATACCTGTTAAAGTGTTTTCAAACTGTGTATCTTTCAAAATATTTCGAATCTGTGGCCCAACAAAAATATCTTCTTTAACCTTTGCCTCACTTAGTCTTGGAAATTTCTGACGCAGGTATTGAAAAGCTGACCCATCTCTATCTAATGCCTTGACAAAGTTTTTCATTAGGCCCAACTTGATATGCAGTGGTGGTAATAAAATTTTTTTCGAATCTACTAATGGCATATGCTGTACATTTTTTGACCTGGCTCTAGGAATTGTCGAACAGGCCAGTTTTGTCTGGTGTAATGAAGTGCCTTTGCCCGACTGTCCCATTCACACAAAAAACAGCAAAACTTTGTGTAGCCTAGCTGCAGCCCAAGTAAAAGTGCAACAACTTTCAAATCGCCACAAATATGCCATTGGTGCTCATCGTATTTTATGCATGTCAATATGCAATAACACTGCCTTTAAACTCAATGTTGAACTGTCTATAAACAATCTCCATTCTTCTGGGTTATAGTTTATATTTAAAGCCGCCAGTAAGCCGTTAATGTTACTGCAGAAAACCAAGTTATTCTCCATATTGAAAAATGGTCTTTGTGGCGTTTACGAAAAACACATACCGAAACATCGTCTTCTAACAAGTTCCACTGCTGCAGTCTTGATCCAAGTAAGTCTGCCTTACATTTTGGAAGTTCTAAATCTCTTACAAGATCATTTAATTCTGACTGTGTTATTTTGTGCGGTTGGTGGCATGACGTGCTCGGTATAAAATCAGGATCTCTTGACGTTGATGGCATATCTTCTTCCTGACGAATCACTCGATCGCCATGATCTGATTCGTTTTCTGATTCGCAAGTGTAGGATTCTGGGGGTTTTGGAATAGGATTTTCGTCACTGTGAGGCACAGGTCTCATCGCAGATGGTATGTTTGGGTAGTTAATAACCGATTTTTTTTTCTTGGACATACCTGTGGCTTGTCCAACACAAGGTACCATGCAAAAGTAACAATCATTAATATGATTTGTAGGCTCTCTCCAAACCATTGGACAGCAAAGCGCATAGACCGTTTTTTGCCATTTAACCAGCTCCTCAGACTTGAAGCACATGTATTACAGCAGATGTGGGGTGCCGACTGTTTGTCTTGATCACCAAGTTTACAACCGAAATAACGCTGATATGCCTCTGTTATTAGTGGAGTAATAGACCGTATCTGAAACGCAAAAGTCACATCACCACACACGTAACAAAACTGATCTGGATTGTTTACATACTTTCGAGACATCTTGCATGAACGCTGTCAGCCAACTGAGGAAAAAATGGCTAATATAAAACAATATAATGTACACGTATGTATAACATAACACAATCATGCCGATTACATCATCTTTCCTTGCCGAATATAAAAATGTATCACGTGAATTCTTGTGAATTACAGTATATTAACACTGTCACAGCAGGAACACATATAATTACCGTATCTCTTAAACTTGAACTAATATTGAAAAAATAAGTTTCATTCCGGTTTTAGCACATTAAAAATAGTAATATTTTGTTGATTTTATTTAGGATATTTTTTGGCTGTTGATCAGCGATTAATCATACCAAACTAAATCTTCGGGGTGTTAATAAAAAACCTGGCCATTGTTCAAAGAGCGGTTCCTTGGATAATTCTAAAAAAGAAGTTTTGGGATTGCTCCGTTTTCAAACCGCGAAAAGAAATGAAAAGTTGGTCAATCTCCGCGTACTACACTGGGAAAACGTGACCAATTGAACAGTTTTTCTATTCCTGAATTTAAAACAATGAATGAACTGTTTCTAGTAAATGATGATATAACCTGTTTCTGGACAATCAAGCAAATAATCGATAAAACTTGATCCTGTATATAATAAGTTCACAGTCATTGAAAATAAAAAATATCGAATTTTTTTAAGATTACAAAATTTTGAAGTTTTTATTTTGATTCGAAAATATCAACTATCAATGTAAAGTTTTTCCAAACCACTTGATATCTTAGATTTATCAAAACTCAGTTACAATATACATCATTCAGTAAAATTCAATATCTTCTTTTGAACTCCATATATTATACAAATATACTTTTGAATCTAAATCATTAAAACTAGTCAAATACTTCTACTCTACACTCATAAATACAATTAAATTGTTTTACTTGGCGTAGGTAAATTCATTTTACTAGTTCATTGATTTTAAATAAATTGGTGTACTCTATCTAAGTTAAAGGTTTAGTGACCTTAATTAAACTATACTAAGTGACATATAAATCCGAACACCCAGTTTAAATGGTTTAAAGGTTTCAGCCTTATCAGTTGGACATTCCGGTTTTTATACTGCTTTTTTTTAATTCACTAACGCTCTAAAAATGAATATTTCAGCCGCAGTATCAACGTTGGCGGATTTTGGTTCTTGACATCCTTTACGATCGGTTACGATGCCTAGAGTACGGAGACCTGTACGATTTCGTCAACTTAGTGAGTTTGATAGGGGCCGTATAGTGGGACTTCGGGAAGCTGGACTTTCTTTTCGGGCAATTGCAGTTAGAATGCAAAGAAGTGTAGGCACTGTGGTTAGGTGTTGTCAGGCATGGCTTCGAGAAGGCCGTACGCAAAGAGCAAGGGGACTGGATGCCGCCGTAGAACAACAGACCGTGAAGATCGCCGCCTAAGATTATTGGCCTTAAGGGACCGTTTCTCCACTACCAGGTCCATTGCAAATGAATGGTTTGCACGGAAGACCTATTGGCATGCGAAGTGTTTACCGACGAATGAGAAGTTTTGGCTTGTTTTCATACCGGTCACACTGGGTCCTCCCTTTAACTCGAGAACACCGACGTAATCGCCTTGAGTGGTGCAGACAACGGTCACTCTGGGGTCAGGAATGGAACAGTATTGTCTTTAGTGACGAGCCTCGATTTTGTTTAGGCATACACGATGGTCGTGCCAGGGTTAGAAGGCGTCGTGGTGAAAGGAGGAATCCACAGTTTTTTGTTGAAAGACATGTTCATCACACTGCTGGAGTTATGGTTTGGGGTGCTATAGCTTATGGTTCCAGGTCACCTTTAATCTTCATCAGAGGTAACATGAACGCGCAGCGTTATATCCACGAAGTTCTAGAACCCCATCTTTTACCCTATATTGACACCCTGGCAGATCCAACTTTCCAACAAGATAATGCCCGACCACATGTTGCAAGAGTCACAATAGACGTCTTTCAACATAATGATGTCACATTGTTACCATGGCCACCAAGATCTCCCGACTTATCCCCAATTGAGCACGTGTGGGATATGATGGGTAGGAAATTGCTCAATTTGCAACGTCCTCCTCAGACTCTAGAAGCACTTCGAGAGGAGTTGGTGGTTGCCTGGAATGAGATACCACAGGAGGACATTGACCACCTGATCAGAAGCATGCCTAGGCGCGTTGGAAAATGCGTACCACATCAGGGTGCATCCACACATTATTAAAGGTCACAGGGCTTTAAAGAAGTGCAATCATTTTGAATTTTTTATCATTTACTTATTATGCTTCATTAAGTACTTATACAAAATTTTATTAAAATAAAACCATTTAAACTGGATTTATATGTCACTTAGTATAATTACACTTGTTAGTTGTCACATACTTATTCAAACTTTATAATTGGCTTAATTGAAATTTTAATCGGTTTAACTATTTTTTTCTCACTGTAGGTACAATATTAAAACTGTCGCTGTGTCGAATCCGCTAATTCAATGCGATTGTGATTGCAATAAAGAAGATAAAAATTCTGTGATGTTTCACGTCTCATTCTGTATAGATATAATAGGGTTGATAACTATGCTTCGCCACTGGCTCCTTTACAAATGCTTATTTGATAAATGTGAAGTGGTCATATTAGGCTGCGTTAACAAAATATTAAGTTATATTTCAAACCAGGGCCATCTCAGTTATGTAGGCGC